ATTCGTATTATTTTTTTACCTCCCCCCCCCTCCCCCAAAAAAAAAAAAAAGGAAAAAGAACTGAGATGAATAGATAGTACTATAGTAGATACTAATTTACCGAGAAAGTAACAGACCTAAGTTCAAAGTTCAAACTAGATGAATGACATCCAACAGAGTGCGAACTTAAACAAATGAAATCCAACAAGTCTGAGTTACCAAAGGCAGGTCACAGTTGGCCAATGACATCTCACAGGCCGTCGCCCCTTTTGTTTTTTCAACTTTTTTTTTTTTGTTAAAACTTTGAAGTTAAAATTAAAAGTTAAAACTTGAAAGATATCAACAACTAGATAAATACTAAATAGCAAATGGTTTAACAACTTTAACTAGCAAATATTATTTGTTTCAATAGCAAATGGTGGTGTTTTTCTTGCATTGAAACAAATAATATTATGTGCCAGTGAATGACAACTCTGCAGAAAGTAAACTTCTTAGTAAAGAGTTCCAGTGAAAGTTCGATGAAAGAAGTCCGTCAGCGACCCAAATTTTTGGTCCTCATCTTCCATTTTTTTTGGTTCCCCTTTCCTTCTTTCTTTTTTTTCTTTCTTTCTTTTTTTTCTTTCTTTCTTTTTCTTCTTTCTTTCTTTTTCTTCTTTATCTGGCTACACATGAACAAAAGACAACAAAAAGCATGCCGGTGTATTTTCCCAAGCTCTAGTGGAAGATTCGTTCTCATTTTGCACATCTGGTAAGTAGTGGAGCGAGGAGCGAGGCCCATATATATTGTATACACATGTATGCACAAAAAAAGTATACATGGTGGGTTCAGCCTCCCGACGTGCTATTTTCTATCTTAATCATCCCAGCTCACTACGCGCTCTGCCGATAATTTGTCATCACTCAGTGTGACTATGTGCACATGCTATCCGGCACGACTTTGTGTACTTGTACCAAGTCATATGCATGCGTTTTGCCGCCCATTGACCAGAGCAGAGCAGAGTAATTGGACATCATACATTCGGAATGATCCAACATTTGAATGTATCTGGACCACTATCCGAGCCAAGTGCCTTTAGAATGTTAAGCAGTGGCTTCACTGCCCTGCAATGTGCACGTGGGACAAGGTGCTTGCGCACACATGAAATGGGATCAGCTAACACAAACGCACCCAGGAAATACGATCACGGTGCGTGGACAGGAGGGCACTTAAAGAGAGAGAGAGAGAGAGAGAGAGAGAGAGAGAGAGAGAGAGAGAGAGAGAGAGAAAGAGAGAGCAGATCAGAGAGGTCCATGTCGGAAATTCCGCCCGAGAGGTAGATGGCGAAAAGCAAAGAGAAAAATTTCTGCATCGGCAGCAGCGCGGATCGCCGCATTCCATGTCTGCATTCACACTGAAAGCGTATTCGTAGTAGCACCTTCTTGGCTGTATCTGGTCCCAATTATGGCACAACAAGATCTTCTTTAAATTCTTTTAAAAGACTATTTGACAAATTCTGTCACATTAATTTTTAATTCAAAAAAAAGAAAAAGAAAAAGCTTCCAACAATTCTGAGTTCAGTTTTGCCTTTGGCATCTCGCGGACCGCAACGCCCGCGTATAACAAGAGCCCCAGAGTGTGCAGCGGCACCCATTGAAAAATAAAAGGCCCCAGAAA